GGCGTGACCATCCCCCCTGGGGGGTGATTTCTCGCTTTCTGTCTCTATGTCTCTCTCTGTCTGTCTGGCGAGCGCACACGCCCTACAGTGAAAAATCTCTCCAAAAAAAAAAAAAAAAGTCACTTGAGGATCTCATTAAAAGAAGATTCAGGGGCTGGCAGGTGGTGTGGTGGTTAAGGCGCTGGACTCCCACATGGCCAACCATGGTTCAAGTCCTGGACCTGGTCACTTGCTTTCTCACTTTCCCTTGCTCATTTTCTCTCTCTCTCTCTGTCAAATTTAAAAAGAAGAGGAAGGAGAAAATAAATAATTTTTAAGAAAAAGATTCAAATTTGGTTCATCCATGGTAGCCTGAGATGCTGCATGTCTTTCTTTTAAGAATTTTTTATTTTATTTTATTTTATCATTATTGTTATTTTTTAAATTTGCTACAGGGCACATGCAAGAGAGCAAGAACAAGAGAGAAAAAGAAAGCAAGCTGCCAGACCTGGGACTCGAACCACAGTTAGCCAAATGGGAGTCCAGAGCTTTAACCAGCATGCCACCTACAGGCCCAAGATATTGCATTTCTTCCCAAGAACTACCCCCTGCGAAGCAAGAATCTCAGTTCTCTTAAATTGGGCCCCTCTCCATCTCTGGAAGATACTCCCTTTCCCAGTAGCTTCCTCCTCCAAGGTACCCTGATAGGGAGATTACCCTACTGCTAACCCACTGCACTGTCTAGTGTAAGTCACTGACCTGCAGAGGGCCTCTGTTTACCCATCTGTGAAATGAAAAGTTTGGAGTAGCTAGCCTTTAAGTTCCTTCCTATCTCCAGCAGCAAAGGAAGTTCTCCCTGGGCCAGATCTAACTAGGTGCATCCTAAATTCCTTCTCACTGGGATGATTTTGAACACCTTCCTTTCTGCATCCTGCAGAATTGCACTCAGCACACAGTGAGGAGCCCAGCCCTGGAGTTGACAGTCATGCAGGGCGTGAAAAACACAGCAAGGATAAAGCCCTCCCGCAGTGGACACCCTGCTCCTGCTCCAACCGACATTTCTCCTAGTCGTGCCTGGTGATGACCATGGACAGCATTTTTTTTTTCTTTCGCAAATGAATAGATTTAACAAGAACCTAAGGCTAACTTACCCATTAAAGGAACAAGGAGTGGAAGAAGTGGGGCGAGTGACAGAAAGATTGCATCTGTAAATACCTGCCAAAGAGCCTGCAGAAGTCAGCTCTGCGATCGGGGAGTTTCGGTGTCCTCCATAATCTGTCACTTGTACCGGCTACTCCCTGCTGTTCTGCTTCTCCTCTTGCTTTTTTGCCTCACTAAAATACAGGCAGAAACAGAAAAGCATCCTTAACACCTGAGCTGCTTGGAAGGGTTGTCTAAAAAATGTAGACTCTACACGTGGTTTATCTGCCGAGAGTAGGAAAGGCCGCTGTGCCAGTCTGTACAAACATGAACTGTGTACCAGCTGCCCGGACGGAAGACAAACGGCAATGCTCTCTAGTTCAACTAACTCCTCAAATGAGACTGTATGCCCTTATTTCCTTCTAGTCTCTGGTCTTTTTTGGAGAGGTTTTTGCTATAGGGCGTGTGTGCTCGCCAGAAAGACAGAGAGAGACATAGAGACAGAAAGCGAGAAATCACCCCTCCCGGGGGTGATGGCCACGCCGCAATCCCTTCTCCTCCATTCTCCTCTCGGGATCTTGGGCACGCACGCACACGTGCCCAGTGTGAGTTTAAGCCACCGGGTCCGGGACTCAAACTGCGGTCGGCTACATGGGAGTTCTGCGACATAGCCATTACACTAACTGCTGGTCCCTAGTCTCTATTTTTGAAAGACTGAGTCACCATCATTTATTTTGAGTGACCAAGCGTCTCCTCCTACATCTTTCCATTTACTGGAAATGTGTTTACATAACTTCTTCCTTCAGCTTCCTTTAAGCAACTCAGTATGTTTTGACTCTTAAGTAAACTTTTCTAAAAAACTGTCAAACTCCTTTACTGTTCTGGCACATCCGTGATGCCCTGCCCTCCTTTCCAGCTTCTTCTGCCAAGTTGGGAAGCTTTTGTTTCTTTTTTTTTTTAGTTATTTTATTTATTTATTATTATTCGTACATTTAACTCACTATACATCGGGCCAGAACTACACCCGCTGATCAGCTCTCGTGAAAGCCATCAGAACCTGAAACACAGAAACAAACCCACTTGCATCTTCCACCCTGTCCGTTCATTCTGCCGGGCGCTCAGCCAGACCCGCTGGCGTTCTGCAAAGCCTTGAGCCCCTGGTTCTGAGCTGTGTGCAATCTCTCGTCTTCCACTGGAGGGGGAGCCCAGGCCGGGATGCATTCCTCTAAAGAGCTGCTCCCCTCCTTCTTTCCCATCACTTCCAAGCTTGTCACTGAAGCAATAAGGTCAATAAAAAAAAAACCAAACCTCACCTTATTAGGCCTTGTTTGGTCTTAAAACCACATCAGCAAAAAAAAAAAAACTAAACCACATCAGCCAAGATTTCAGCTGCACAATGCTGGCTCTGGAGAACAGGTGCCGCGTTGTCTTACGAACGTGAATTAGACAAGCACACAGAAGCAAACCTACGCGGGCAACTGCTAACGGGTTCGTAAGCCTTTCCACGGCCCGGGAGTGAAGCAAGAGGCAATGGCTTCTTTTCTTTTTGTCTTTTAAGTCTTTCGTTCTAGGCTCTCCATTCTCCCTGTAGCAAAACAAATATTTTCCTTTCCACGAATAGTTTTAAAAGGTATCACTTTTCAATCAGGGGTGGCTTGCTTTCTTTGGTATGCTGGCGTTTGGTTTCTCGCAGTGAAATGATAATGTACCCTAAAGATGGTTAAAGGAAGTCCTGGGACTAGCCTTGCTGCCATCCATCAGCTGTGACATATCAAGATGAATATATTGTCAGGAATCTGGATGTAGCATTTCATTTATCCTACCCTCTCTTCTAAGAGACTCCACCGGGGATTACCTTATTATTCCAGCTTCCTGGACTCCCTCCAAATGCAGGCTGCACCTACAACTCAAAGGGGAACTTATGAAAGGTAATAGGAAAGAGACCTTCTTCGGCACATTTTTTAAAAAAAATTAACCTCTTCCGAGTTTAATTCCATCCTATATACCCCTAAAGAGACCAGCTTTCAGGAACTAAACGCTAATCCTATAGTAATAACACAAAGCTCCATTTCTCATTTCACACGATCATTAATATTGCTTTAGAAATCAAGAGGAATCTCTTCGACTTCTTGAGCTTTGTCATTCATTTCTGTACACCAATTCAAGAAGCCTCCTTAATTTAGGTGGCTGTCTTTCCTTCTTCTTTTATTTTTTCCCGTACCACCAGGACACTCAAATATTTGAAATTTTTACCTTAGGTCAGAATTTAAGAAAAAATTAATCTCTCCTTTTCAAAAAGGATTATGAATATGAGAAAAATGCTTTTGCCACAGGATCATGTTTATGTTCACCTAATTCACAAATAAATAGGTTCTACGGACTATCAAATCAAAAGGGAAAAAAGAATAATGTTTATATAAATGATGGGGTATTTTTTTTTTTGAAAAAAATCTCGTTACGTTCTGAACATTTTCTTTCCTCTGACCCAGTTTCAATATTCCAATCAAATGGAAGGTGGAAGAGCTTTGATTTGAGAGAAAGAAAAAAAAAAGAAAAAACCCTTTGAACACTGAGTGGCGTGCGGCCTACAATTATTTCACCTGGGTTTAACTCTCTGCACGCCACGGTCCAGTCACGTGAGGGAGCCGGTGCTGTGAGCTGAGTTTACAATTCTCCTTCAACAGGCGCCACTTCAAAGGCCGCTCGATGGGTATTTTCTGTTCTTCATTAGAACTCGTAAATGTGTAACCTGCACATAAACAAGTCACTCTGCCTAATTACATGGGGTCTCTTCTCTATTAAAAATTTACAAGTACTGCCTGGGTATAAAAGTGACATCTGAGAAGGTGGGAGGGGAGGCCCTCTTCATGCCCGTGAATAACCGGCTGAATCTCCTTCAAGCAAAGCCGCGTTAATAATAGCGCAGATGCACATAAATTATTCTAATTATTTTATTACCGGGAAAGATTGTTTAAGTGGAAAGGGTGTTCATTGTTGGCAATCACACCTTCCGGTGTTATCT